TCTGAGACCTCGCAGGAGGGTGGAGAGCCATAAAGAAATGGGAGAAAAGTGTACAAATGGCAGCTCCTTGCCTCTGGGGTCCAACCCTGGGTTGATTTTTTGCAGGCAAATAGTAAGAGAAACTGCTTGGTGGAAGGTCAGGTCATTGCTCACATTTAAGGTTAACTTGTAGGCATGGAAAAGGATCATTTACCCTGTGTCCTATTCTGAGGAAATTGAGACAAGAAACACAGTCGCTGAGTCAGGGTCACGTAGGCCGTGGGTGGCACAAGCTACCTGTCCACAGCCACATCTCCAGGCTCCCCACCATGGAGACCTTATTAGGTGCCCCTGAGTCTTACAGATCATTTCCTAGACTAAAACTTCTTTTAGGGGTCCCTGATTCATGACAATCAACATCAAACTCCTGACAAGAGTGGCCCAGCTGAAGCCCAGCCTGACCTGAATGGCAGCCAGATCCTGATCTGTGTGCGATCTCTGTTGGGCTGTCAGGTTCTCAGGGAAGCTCAATGGGAAGACTAATCATGACCTATGTGTAGGAGAACCCTGAGCAGCAAAGGCTTGGAGGGCGCTGGTCCTCACTGAGCAGTGGAGGTCAGGGCAGCTGGAGGGACTCACACATTGTGTCCCAAGACATGCAATAGGTCAGTGAGGACCAGGAGATAACATGAGGTCTCTGATTCCAAGTCTCGAGTCTGTCCATCACCACACACTGCAGCTCAGTTTCCTCCTGGGAAAGCCCTTGCTTCTGCCATGCACAGCACAGGAGGCCCCATTGTCTCTGAGAGCTCAGCTACTCCATCTGCCTGTAATTTGGTTCCTGCCTGATTCTTTGAGGTTCTGGGTTTGTGGGGAGATAGGAGACCATCTCTGTTGAAAGAGGCCCTTGCAAGAATCAGAGCCACCACACAGAGCAACCTTCTCTTTGTTGTCTGCACACACAGCACTGCTACCCAAGCCCAAAATCACAAGCAAGAATTTCTATGCCAGGGAGGGGTCTCCAGAAGCATTAATGTGTGAGCCTGAGACTGAGAATACAAGCTACCTGTGGAGGAGAAATGGCCAAAGCCTCTCAGAAGATAACAGGCTGAAGCTCTCTGAGGGCAACAGGACTCTCACTTTACTCAGTGTTGTGAGGACTGACACAGGACCCTATGAGTGTGAAACCCGGAACCCAGTGAGCACTGCCCGAAGTGACCCATTTACTCTGAACATTACCTGTGAGTATTGTCTGCTTCATCCTGGCTACATCTGTCTATACAAATAGTTAGGACTAGGACACTCAGTCCCCTTGGGTTGATGACACAGACCCACCACACAGACACCTAGGCTGACCAGGGCCTCCTGACCCAGCGCAGGTACACTGGAGCCAAGCCCAGCACTGAGCTGGAATGGACTTCAGAGACTTCTTCCTAGAGAGACTCGGGGTGATGGAGACAGCGGACAGCTCAGACTCAGGCTCAGTGCACAGTGAGTGTGCAGTGGGGATGTTTGTGTGCTGTGCTCGAGATGGATCAGGACTTGTGCCTGCTGCATGAATACTCTTCTACTAATCTGCACCCCAGCTCTGGGTGGGACCTGCTCAGCTGAGGTTATAGCACAGCTCAGAGAGACAGTGTGGCCTTCTGCAGACCAGGATTGCCCTTCCCTCTACTGACATCACATGTGACTTTGTTCTGTTTGCTCCAGATGGTCCAGATGTCCCGATCATATCCCCCTCAAATATTCATTTCCATTCAAGGACAAACCTCAGCCTCTCCTGTCAAGCAGCCTCTAGCCCTGCAATGTTCTATTGGTATTTTAATGGAAAGATTCTATCAAAAGTCAAAGAGCTCTTTATCCCCAACATCACTACTAATAACAGTGGTTCCTATACCTGCCTCATCTATAACTATGTCTTTGGAATCATGAAGACCACAGTCAAGAACATTACAGTCCTTGGTAAGTGGATCTCTGAAATATCAGTGCCAGGTTTGGAGTAGAGTCTTTTGGCTTTCTGAGAAGATGCAGAAGAATTTAATTTCCAGCCCTTTTCTATGAGAACAAGCAAAACTCCATTCTCCCCGAGCGTCCTAATCCATTACTATGTCCATCTTCTCCTGCTGTTCTGACTTCTGGCTGATAGGGATGGAGCTTGGAATGTGAGGAGGAGCTTTTCCCAGCCTTGGAAACCTCAGGTTATGGGAGGGACTTCCCAGGGGACAGAGAGCCTTAAGGTCAAGATTTCTTTCTGTCACTAACACAGCCCTTCCTGACCCCTCCATTTTCTTCTTATGACCTCCATCACTTAGAGGAACACCCAGGGCTTTCAACTGTGCTCACATTCTTTTTCTCCAAATGTGAGGAGAAAACTCCCTCCCCACAGATGGGGACCAGCAGTTCAGAGCTCTGCTCCCAGCTCTGCTCCTGTCTCAGGGGTGACTGGCTGAGCTCTGACTCCATGGGAGGGGAAGTGTGGTGAAGGCACCTGGGAGCCCTGTTCTGACTCGGGGTAAAACATGTCACTGACAACTTGATGATGCTCTTTCCCTTACTCTTGTCAAGGATTAAAAACAGATGTCGGCTGAGTGTGGTGGTGTGTGCCTTTAAGGCCAGCAGTAAGGAGAGAGAGGCAGGGAAATAGTATGAGTTTGAGATCAGTCTGGTCTACATAGCAAGTTCCAGGCTAGCGAGGGCTCTCCAGTCAGACCTTGTCTCAAAAGACATTCAGTATGAAAGTTCAAAGTGGCAGGTTGTGATCAACACTGTGATCCCTCTCTTCTTTTTTGTATTTATCCCATCTCCATGGAGCAGGAAGTAATTTTTTTCTTAGAACAGAAATTCTTTAGTTTGGAATTTCTCCCAGTCCTAAGATGTAGGCTTTGACCTCTAAGATTCGCTTGGACATCTTAAACCCATGACACATTATTTAATGAAAAAGAAACAGAAGACTATTTTATAATTAGGGACCAGACTGTTCACACTCACAGAAAGTGTGAGCAAGAATTTGCACAAGAATCAATGGAATAAACATTCCTACAATAAGATTTGTAGACACATGGGCTCAAGGGGCTCCTAGTGTGGAATTTATACACATAACCTGAGTCAGGGATCACTGTATATCATCTCAGTAGGAGGAAGACACAGCTGTCTCCTGAGAGACCACATCTTGAACCCAAACATGCGATCTTCCAGAGGGCCATGTCATTCTGTGGGCCCTGTGAGCTGGCTGAGGTCTCTGAGGATGAAGGACTCTCAGCTGTCCCCTCCATTGTTTATCCACAGAGCCAGTGACTAAGCCCTCCATCCAAGTCAGCAACACCACAGTCAAAGAACTGGACTCTGTGTCCCTGACCTGCTCCTCAAACGACACTGGGATCTCCATCCATTGGCTCTTCAATGGCCAGAGTCTGGGGCTCACGGACAGAATGAAGCTGTCCCTGGACAACAGCACCCTCAGCATAGACCCTGTCAGGAGGGAGGATTCCGGGAAGTATCAGTGTGAGGTCTCCAATCCAGTCAGTTCTGAGAGGAGTGATCCCATCCAGCTGGACATAATAAGTGAGTGACCTCCCCTCCCTTCTTACCCCATAGTGTTGGAGTTGGGGCATTTTCTTTATCAGCGAGAGACAGAAGCAGGAGGAACAGGAGCACAAGGCCAGCCCAGGTTACATTGTGAGAACCTGTATGGAGGATTAGAGTGGAAGGCTGTGGTCAACACTGTGGTCATTCACGTCTTCTCTGTGGTGTTTATCCCATCTCCATGCTTCAGGAAATAAATTTTCTTCAAACATAAACTTTTTATTTTTGGATTTCTCCCAGTCCTGGGATCTAGGCTTTGGCATCTTTAATATTAGATGGTAAATCTTAACCCCATGACACATTATTTAATGAAAAAGAAACAAAAAACTATTTTATAATGGAGGGATCTGACTGTTCATACTCACAGAATATGTGAACAAGAATGTGTAATGATATTTCATTTATATTTTAATAAATAAAACTTGCCTGAAGATCAGAGAGTAAAACAATCTACACTGGCCATTGATACAGACCAGGCAGGGGTGGCACACAACTTTAACCCCAATAGCCACACTAGTTGGCCATAAAAGCCAGGCAGTATGGTGCATGCCTTTAATCACAGCACTAGAGAGAAATATAAGATGGGAGGAGACAGTTCTCAGACAGTCTCATGCTGAGATTCCTGGAGGTAGTATCACCACTTCGGACTGAGGTAGAGGTCACTGCCAGTGCCTATCTGCTTTGCTCTTCTCTCCTTCAGGTTGAACCCCAATATCTGTCTCTGGGTTTATTAATACTGTTATATTTGGTGTCCAACATAGGGCTCGAACCCATGATGTTTGGATTAAGAGTCCCATGCTCTACTAACTGAGATAGATTATTCTTTTTTATTTTAAGTAAAAAAAAAAGGAAGGGGGAATGTAGTGATGCTTCATATGTATTTTAATAAATAAAGCTTGCCTGAAGATCAGAGAGTAAAACAGCCACACTTATCAGCCTTACAGACCAGGCAGTGGTGGCACACAACTTTAATCCCAGTAGACACACTAGTTCATCATAGAAGCCAGGCAGTAGTGGTGCAAGCCTTTACTCCCAGAACTAGAGAGGAATATACAATGGGAGGAAACAGCTCCCAGTCAGTCTTGTGCCGAGATCCCTGGAGGTAGGATCACCATTTCAGACTGAGGTAGAGGTAACAGTCAGTGGTTGACTGGTTTCCTTTTCTGGCTGTCAGGTTAAACCCCAATATCTGTCTCTAAGTTTTTATCAATCCTATTATAAGAATTTGCACAAGGATCAATGGAATAAACATTCCTAAGATGAGATCTGTAGACATATGGGCTGAAGAGGGTCCTAGTGTGGAATTTATACACATACCCTGAGTCAGGGTCACTGTGGATGATCTGGGTAGGAGGAAGACACAGCTGTCTCCTGAAAGAGCATATCTTGAACCCAAACAAGCAATCTTGCAAAGATTCACATCATTCTGTGGGCCCTGTGAGCTGTCTGAGGTCTCTGAGGATGAAGGACTCTCAACTGTCTCCTCCACTGTTTATCCACAGAGCCAGTGACTGCACCCTCCGTCACCAACACCAACACCACAGTCAAAGAACTGGACTCTGTGTCCCTGACCTGCTCCTCAAACGACACTGGGATCTCCATCCATTGGCTCTTCAATGGCCAGAGTCTGGGGCTCACGGACAGAATGAAGCTGTCCCTGAACAACAGCACCCTCAGCATAGACCCTGTCAGGAAGGAGGATTCCGGGAAGTATCAGTGTGAGGTCTCCAATCCAGTCAGTTCTGAAAGGAGTGACCCCATCCAGATGGACATAATAGGTGAGTGACCTCCCCTCCCTTCTTACCCCACTGTGTTGGGGGTGAGGAAAATTCTTCATCAGCAGTTTGCAAAATGGGTAAAAATCACCAAGAAAAAAACATGTTCAAGATTCAAATACAGCCAGGCGGTAGTGGCACACGCCTTTACTTCCAGCACTCAGGAGATAGAGGCAGGCAGCTATCTCCGAGTTAGAGGCCAACCTGGTCTACAAGACCTAGTTCCAGGACAGGTTCCAAAGCCAAAACAATAGAGAAATTGGTTTTTTGAGACAGGGTTTCACTGTGTAACTTTGGTGCCTACTTGTAACTCTCTCTGTAGACCAACCTGGCTTTAAACTCACAAAGATCTACCTACCTCTGCCTCCTGAGTGCTTGGATTAAAGGCATGTGGTACCACTGCCTGGCTCAAATAGAAATTCCATTTTGGGATTTCTCCCAACCCTGAGGTGTAGGCTTTAACACCTTTAAGATTAGCTGGGCCATCTAAACCCCATGACAAATTCTTTAATGAAAAACTAACAGAATTCTATTTTATAATGGAGGGACCTGACTGTTCACACTCACAGAAAGTGTAAGCAAGAATTTGCACAAAAATCAATGGGGAAAACATCTCCCTCCATGAGATTTGTGGTCATGTGGGCTGAAGGGGCTCCTAGTGTGGATCCTGCACACAACCCTGAGTCAAGGGTCACAGTGGGTGATCTGGGTAGGAGGAAGATTCAGCTCCCTTTTTACAGATTGTATCTTGAACCCAAACATGCGATCTTCCAGAGGGCCATGTCATTCTGTGGGCCCTGTGAGCTGCCTGAGATAACTGAGGATGAAGGACTCTCAACTGTCTCCTCCACTATTTATCCACAGAGCCAGTGACTGCACCCTCCATCCAAGTCACCAACACCACAGTCAAAGAACTGGACTCTGTGTTCCTGACCTGCTTCTCAAACGACACTGGGATCTCCATCCATTGGCTCTTCAATGGCCAGAGTCTGGGGCTCACGGACAGAATGAAGCTGTCCCTGGACAACAGCACCCTCAGCATAGACCCTGTCAGGAGGGAGGATTCCGGGAAGTATCAGTGTGAGGTCTCTAATCTAGTCAGTTCTGAGAGGAGTGACCCCATCCAGCTGGCCATAATAGGTGATTGACCTCCCCTCCCTTCTTACCCCACGGTGTTGGGAGTGGGGCAAATTCTTTATCAGCAGTGTCCAAAATGGGTAAGAGTCACCAGAAGAAAAACAAGCTCAAGATTCAAATACAGCTGACTGTAGTAGTGCATGCCATTAATTCCAGTACTCAGGAGGTAGACGCAGGTGGATATCTGTGAGTTCAAGGCCAATCTGGTCCACAAAAGCTAGTTCCAGATTTGGCACCAAAGCCAAAGCTACAGAGAAATCCTGTCTCATAAAATCAAAAATGAAGAAGAAGAAGAAGAAGAAGAAGAAGAAGAAGAAGAAGAAGAAGAAGAAGAAGAAGAAGAAGAAGAAGAAGA